GGTATTGGTCCTATATCGATTGACGTGATTGGTGGATAGGTTTGCTACAACATCTTTATGCACTGATTGGTTTGACAAGCACTTTGTTCCTGATGCCCAGCAATACTGCCAGAGGAAGAACATTGACTTAAATGTGATCCTGGTGATGGATAATGCTCCTGGTCACTCTAAGTTTCTAATTGGACGCCACTCTAATGTACAAATTATCTTCCTTCTTCCTGACACCACATCGCTTTTGCAGCCATTTGACCATGAATTCATCAGTAATGTTAAACTGTTCTACTATCAGTCACTATAAAGACTTTCGTCAGCAGACAGACTCATTAGTTGAGTTACAACAAATCGAGGCAGAACTAGTGACCAGGCATACATATTCCAAACACAATATTTTGTTTTGTTAATGAAAAGGCTGGCAGAAAATTGAGATCCAACATTTGATCAAGATCACGTCGATGGTGTGGAAGAGTTCATCCTTTTTAACATAGTGTACTCATATAACTGACACTGCCAGTATGCAGACGTAATGAGCATGGTTGATGTGTGATAACTGTGAAAGGAACATACTTTATAGAATAGATAAGTCATCTTTTACACAGTTTTTATTTAAACTGGCATTCTATATTAGAATACAATTTTATATTTATTTTTTAGTCATGTTATATTCAAAGACCTATATCATCTGTAGCAAACCTATCCACCAATCACGTCAGTCGTTATAGGACCAATACCCATTCATTCATAAACAGTGATACTACTACAGCGACGTTGCCATTTGGTGACGGGTTACCACAGGGGGTGTAGGAACACATTTCCACAACTGTACAAGACAATGGCAGGCCATCCTGTATCATCATATCATCATTTGGCCAACCTGCTTCACAAGCTCAAGTTGACAGCATCTGCTGGTGAGTGCAGTACTCTATACAGTAAACCCTCGAAGATCCGGACCCGGGAAATCCGGATTTTGGAAGATCCGGACAAAAATTTTGGGGGTTCTGGGCTAAGAAGCCTCCTAGAAGTTTCCCTAAGAAACATTCACAAACCAGAGCAAAGAACATTTTAGGCCAGTGGGTGCTGCTTGACCCGTCAGTTGCTTGGACACAGGTGCCCGAGGAGGTGGGAAACATAAATAGAGTTAACAATTGTTGTTTGTGGGAATATTATTTCATTCACTCTAGTAATGATACAGTGTTTCTTATTATGTTATTATAGGTAAATACATGGTTTATATATGGTGATTTCCTTTACCTGTATTGTAAATATTTGTGTGTAGACACACACACACAAAACACATACAAATAAATAATAAATGGAAAATCCTCTCACAATCAAAAGCAAATTTATTAAAAATGTGACAGTATACCCTTAAATCCGTGCTCTATTAATAAGGTAATAGAGCACACATTTGAGGGTACACTGTCACATTTTTAATAAATTTGTTTCTGATTATTTGTGAGAGTATTTTCCCATTATTATTTGTATGTGTTTTGTGTATGTATGTGTAGACATAGTACACACAAAACAGGGGGGGGCCCCTGTACTGTATTTTTGGTGTTTCTTATATCATTTATTAATCGCCGGATATTCCGGACAATCGGCTTTTACAGACAGGTGGTCCCCCCTTTTAGTCCGGATCTTCAAGGGTTCACTGTATACAGTACAGGAATACCTCTCTATTTGCATCCCCACTAATCCACAATAAGTATTTTAACACCGCAATTTGATATTCGCAAAGCATACCCCGCTTATTCACAAATTAAAAACTATGATACCCTACAGTAATATTTCAAACCGGGTGGGATAGCCACAGCTCTCATATTCTGCTGTAAGGCCTGCTTCACTTTTTTTTTTTTTTTTTTTAAAAGCATACGGACCCTCGCCATTTAGAAATTAATGAAGATCAATGGGACCATTCTCACGGAGCATGCGTATGAAAATTCACACACAGGAGATGCTCACCCCACACCTGAACCTGTTTTTCCAAACTGCGGCATGAAAAAAATACACCGAGCATTCTATAATTCTTCATATGACAATAGTAAATGCTAGTTTAAATGTTTACACTAATTTCCAAATGTTGTATACACACACAGTGTTCTTTTGTATTGTTTTTATGTTCTTGTAGTTATTTTATTGCATTATATGGGGTGTACCTGTACAGGATGTAAACAAAAATATGTTAATATAAAATAAGAAATATGAAGAGCATTGGTGTGTATGTGGGCAAAATTTACATGTGTGTGAATTTACATGTGTGTGTGGACTAGGCATGTCACCAAGTTAGATTATTCCTGTAGCTGCATCCCCCTTGCTCTCCTCCTACCAAGCCAAGCTGTGTTATTGTTATTTTTCAAAAAGTAATCTTTTTTTTTTGTATTATATTACATGCACACTCAATTATTCATGCAGAATGTGCAAAAAAAATGGTTATCATAAGGTCAAAAACATAAAGGAAAGCCGTTTTTTTTCTAAAAAACAGTTTTTGTGATATAGCCCAGAATGCGACGCCTAGCTTTAACCTCGGTGTGTTTATGCCTAGCAATAATTCGCCAGGCCAACATACAGGCAATTAAAGCATCTAATAATTACGTACTTAATAAGTAATATTAGGAGGACACGTCGCTACCTGGCATTTAATTGCAATTCTCAAAACCCCCTTCATACGCACTGCCACCGTTGTATGTTGGCCTGGTGAATTATTGCTAGGCATTAACATACCTAGGTTAAAGCTAGGCGTCGTATTCTGGGTTGAACAAAAATAAACATTTCTTATGTGCGAGGTAGTTAGCCCACGGAGAGGAGGGAGTAATACTGGAGATCTCAGCCGTTCCAGTCTCCAGCATGTAGTGAAACTATTGCCAACCTTTAATGTGATATTTTTTCTTATATGTTATTCATTAGTACTTGTATAATTTTTTTTATTCCTCACATTTACTGGTACTACAATATACACCCAACCCTGGTCCCTAATAGCCTCGGATAATGAGGAGTATATATTGAAAAATAGGTGGTGAAAGTTGCATCCCCTCCCCCCATTTACATTAATTCTTATTTGGAAAATTGCCCCGTTATTCGCAAATTCGGTATTCACAATGACTTTTAGGAATGCATCCCTTGCAATAACTGGGGTAGTCCTGTGCAGTAGTAGTACATATTGTTTTGTTTATTTACATAATATTGTATGTTTATAGTGGTGTTTGCATAAATATATATACAGCTCTGTGTCTATCCTTTGCGAGATGCATAGTTTAGACTAAAAATAATTTTCCCAGTATAGGGTGGAAAATTCTACTGTTAAAGCTGTGATTCCATTCATGCCTCTTACCCCAAAAATACCTTTATTTGATGCCTGTATCATATAAAATTTTTGTTTTGTTTATATTTGTTTATTTACACAGACTTTTGGATAAAGTATTCAGGATTGTTTAGGTAAAAAAATGGTGCTTCTAACTTAATTAAAACATATTTTATCGACCCCATTATAAGCATTTCTTAGTGTTTCTTTTTTTTTTTTTTTACATAAAACAATTGAGTCCCAATCATTGTATCCTGCTGAAATATTTTGTTTAAGGATCTTTTGTTGAAACAATCTCAGAGAATTTACTCGGGATAATTTGGGTACCAAATTCATTTCTCGAACACAATTAGAACAGATGCTCTGGATAAAAGTTTATACACTTTTTAGCTAGCTGTAAATATTTTTGCTTGTGACCACAGCCTAAATGTAATGGGAGAGTGTTTGTCCATACAGGATGCATAGTCTAGAGCTCTAGACTCTCGGAAAACTTTTTCCAGCATCTGGAAACATTCCGAGGATGTGTGATAGTGTCTGCCGTGCAAGCTGCATAGTTTAGACCCTCGGAAAACTTTCCCCTGTACATATATGTGGAAAAATTCTGTGGATTAGCAATTTTTCCGGGGATGAGAAAATTTGTCTCGATACCCAGAAATCTCTCATTGCCAGAAGAGCTCTGCACCAATTATTCCAGCTAAATGGGATATCACTGTACTGTACTGTGTTATGAATGAATTTTGTTATTAGATACAGTACAACTATAAATATATATACAGGGAATGGGTGAACTACAGGCACCCCCCCTCCAAGTTTGCGGATTTTTATTTCGCAGTCCTCTATTATTCACGGATGACACCCTGGATGTACCCAAGAATGTCTGCGGGTAGTTTTAAAGTTGCCGGCATTTTGACGGCCAGGACGGGGCCATTCATTCTAGACACAGTAATTTCGTTTACCTGTAATGTATGTGTGTGTGTGTAGACACACACATATATACAATACAGGTAAAAGATATAATTGTCCTTAGGGCAAACACATAAGGGAATACACATTTCTTTGCACACAAGTTAAAATGTAACACCCCCCCCCCCCCTTGGTCTGCAAATGTTATTTGCAGATTTGGCGATTTATGGCCATTTTCAGAACCTAATCCCCGCAAATTTGGGGGGTCCCCTGTACTGTATATATCATCATTACTTAGATATGTGTGGAGATGTTTATGCTTGAGGCAGGCAGTCTGAGATGGGGCAGATGTTGCACAACTTGATCAGGGTGGGAAGGGTTGTGTCTAATTTGATTTTCTTTTGTATTTATGTGTTTACCTACATTGGGGAAAGTTTTAAAGGTGTACTGTACTAAAATTGAATTGTTCTCTTTCATATGGCTATTTAACCAGATTTTACTATTGGATTGGGTCTCAGTCTTAATTTGCATCAGTGCTAATTGTTGGATTGGGTTGGGGTTTATTAGGGGTAAAGCACATTTAACTTTTAGCATTTCAAGATAAAACACTTTTTTCCATCCATATGGAAGTCAAAATATGTTTGGCCTCTGTATATTAACGTAAGTTTTGGCATCTTCTTTGCTATCCATGTAATATTAACCTGGTATATTTTGCTTCCCTTTATGTTTACATAAGAATTTTAAGTTACATTATTTACTGTAGGTTTCCTTGTGAGTAAGATATGTTAATCCTTCCCTACAGTACCTGGAGCATTGACCTGGCATACTTGCTGCAGAAATTTGGGATCAAACACCGATACATGACAGTCACTTTAGGAGTTGACCCGGGATTCTCAGCTGAAAGTTTCTACGATCATGTACTCAGTAAAGTAAGCTTTTGTTTGCTTTATGTATTTATTAAGATAGCCGTGTGAACTGATGTTTCCAGTTATATTTGGTATCAAACAGTTTTATTTATTTTTTCCATTGGCTATTTAAAGTTCTTGATGCACAGATATTTTTAATTTAGCTTGTTGAAATCAGATGTTTTGTGTCATGACTCCTCCATCATCAATATTTTATGGCTATTTTCCATGCTTTTGTGGGTTTGTCATGATTACCTGATGTCAGCTTTCCATGCTGCATGGTCCCTTGCAGTCTCTCTTGTCAGGTTCTTAACTCTAATGTCGTTTCTTAAAACCTCTCCTCATGTCATTCTTTGCCTACCCCTGGCTCTCCTCCCTTCCACATTTAGGTTCATGCACCTCTTGATCCAATTGGTTTCATTCAATCTCTTCACAAGCCCAAACCGTTTCAGCCTGCCTTTATGCAGAACCTTTTCCAATACAGTAAGTTCTTGCTTAACGTCGGGGTTACGTTCCTGAAAACGCGAAGTTATACGAAACAACGTTAAGCGGATCAATTTTCCCCATAAGAAATAGATAAAATATGGGAGTTACGTTCCCCAGCCTCCCTTTGCCCCATGAAATACATTACATATACAGTGATCCCTCGGTTAACGAGCGCCTCGTTTAATGAAATTTCGGTTCACAAATTACCTTCCATGAGATTCTTAACTTCGGTTAACGAGCATTCCCTCGATTAATGAATTCCTTACGAGCGCCCCTCAACATGTTTTCGCTTGCACACTAGCTGTCATATTAGTCCGCCAATACAGTAATCGGTTCTAGGGCTTAAATTCCTGGCTATTTTAGTAAATATCAAGAAGTTTGTACTATTCAATAATTTTAAAAGTCTTATTTTGAAATTTTTAGTCATTTTAACAATTATTTAACATAATTTAAGTACAGGGAAACTAGTTTTTAGCACGCCAAACAGCCTGTCAACACACCATACAGACGTCAGTCTCTGTCTTTTCAGTGGAGGTAACATCTTGCTTCAGACTCTCTTCAACATAAACGCTTTTTTCTGTGTTTCCAGTCAAATTATTGGTCATTTTGAAATTTATTTTTCATATTGACAATATATAATGCAGTGCAGTGTTGATTTAAAGAAAATAATCTTGAATTACACCAAGTGAACTAAAATTTTATGGGTGAAATGGCGCCTTGGGGTGACTTCTCTTCCACCCCAATGCCTTCTCTTCTTCCTTCTCCTCCACCCCCATTCTAATCCCCATCATCATCATCATCATCATCATCCAGGAGCCTTCTACATACACACCTCAAAGTAAGTGTACTTTACTACCTTTTTTGTTGACTTTAGGCAATTTTCGGTGAGCTGGAACCAAAAACCCATTGAAACAATGGTTTCGGTTAACAAATTTTTCGGTTAACGAGCAACCTTCTAGAACGAATTGTGGTCGTTAACCGAGGGACCACTGTACAGAAATTCAAAACTCCTTGTGTGATGCCTGGTGAGGTGCTTTTATTTATTACTACAGAGTTACATTCATTGAGATTTTATAAGAGAAAAACTTAAAACTCATCCACTACAATTGCAACAAGGATGTCTAGGCTAGGTACTGCACTCTCAGTTCGAGATATCCTTAACACTTTACGCTTGGAATTTCTCAAAAGATGTTTAAATAGATTGTTGGGTAATTCCAATACTGTATAGTTAACCAAGTGATAGCAGGTCATAGACCCCAACATCTATGCAATATGAGAAAGCTTGGAAACCTTTTCAACAATTTATCAGGTTAACGACTCCAAACACATTGTCGGAAACAATGGTGTTAGAATTTTTAGAATTTCTGTTCATAGTTAAAGGCCTTCAAGGATCGACAATTGCATCTTATAAATCAGCATTGGTTGACCCTCTGGCATGGGGTTTTAATATTACTTAGAACCCAAGGATTTATCAAATGCTCATCGTCCTTTTCCATTCAGAGATCCCCTCGGCCTAAGAGAATCCCACCTTGGTCTCTTGAAAAAGTTACTAAATTTCTTATGGGGCCTAATTACAATATAAATCTGATCCGGGACAGATTGCTCCAGAAGGCAGCCTTCCTTCTAGCAATAGCAACAGGTATGAGAATCAGTGAGCTGATTTCAATTTCCAATAATCCATCATTATTGGTATTTTCTGAGGAAGGTGTCACCCTTTTTCTTACAGAGATCCTAAGAAAAAATGAAAGGGGGGGATTTTCAAGCTCAACCTATTAGGATAAAATGGCTAATGGATGAGACAAGGGTTCCCAGTTAGGAATCTTGAAGAATGGTTTACCAGGTTCCCTAATCTGGCCCCTATGTATTCTCATCACAGGATGGTAAGAAATTGCCTCCCAGTCAAATGACAAAATAGTTATCTCAGTTAGTGAATCAAGCAGACCCTGGCAAGAAATATTTGACATGACACCAGGAAATATGCAGGATCTGTGGCCTTTCTGCGGCATATGAGCCTCAGTCAGATCAAAGAAATGGGCTTTTGGAGATCCTCAAAAACCTTTAAAAACAGCTATCTTCATCTGTCTCTGAATGATGCTTCACATATGATGGTGCTGGGGTCCCCTCCCCCACCTGGTCAATCTCCACAACCAGGACCTTCTTCCTCATCAGAATAAAGTGAGTATCCTAATTGGGATATATAAATTAACATTTTACCTTCCAGAAAATATTCCAAACAGTTTATGATCATAATCTGGACCTAATCTAGCGGAGCCTTATACGCAACGTCACCTCCCTCTCCACGTCCTGCGTGGGTATTCAAAGCTAGACGTCGCATTCTGGATTGAGCAAAAAGTTTTTTTTTTTTTCTAAAAACCAGTTTTTGTGATATACAGTAGAAGTCCAAAAATCCAGACTGCTTGGGGATTGGGTCGGTCCGGATTTTCGGATTTTCCGGATTCTCAGGCAGTACTTTTAAAATTCAAATTTAAGGAGGAATAAAGAAGAGATGAACAGGTACATTTTGAGAGAGTATTCATAAGCAAGTAAAGCATGCTTCATTTATCAAAACGAGCAGTTTTAAAGAAAAATAAAGTCAACACTTGACAAAAATTTAAACAAACTGTCTAATACCATGATGAGTCTTGAAATTCCAAAGCCATCCATCACTAAATGCTCACTCTGATTCAATGTTTATTTGCTCCTTAAAAGACTTTGCTTTGGCAATAAGCATCAGCCCATAAATTGCCATACCTTCTGATCGTTTTAACAAAAACCATTTGTGCAACACTTTATCAAGATTTTCTAATTTGGGCCAATGTAAACTTTTTCTTTCAACAATTTTATTGTAAGGCTCAGAAGAAGCTGTGAATTCTAGAATTTTATTCTTTGCCTTTTTTATATCATAAATTGTAGACTTCCCAATGTCGTATGTTTCCATTAGATCAGTATTGCTCACACCACGTACTAGTTTCATAATTATTTCAAGTTTGTCACTCAATTTCAATGTGTTCTTCTTTCTCTTCACACAACGAAGTTTATCTACTTTAGGAGCCATTATTATGGGCTTGTACTCTGTAAATGGAAAGAGTAGGACTCAAAATTACATATGTTGTCACAGTTTGATTGCTTGTTTTAAAGTGGCGATTGCGTGGTCGTTTGTTGTAGCTGTGGCGTTCAGGCATGCACTACATCCTTGACCACCGAAGGGTCAAGACGTACCTGGCGCTCCTCTCGGAGCAGCCAGGTCAACTGTTAAGTTGGCCCATACCAACCCCCTCCCCTGAACCCTCCTCCCCACCGGAATATCAACAAGTTCTCACCAGAAGTTACAATTTCATTTAGGAAAGGAAAGGAATGGAACCAGTGTTAAACAGAGGTGAACAGTGGTGAACAGTGCTTAAGTCAGTGAGAACAACTCAACAGTAACAGTCATATCCAAGTTAACCTTCACACAGTGAGGTCCCAGGTACCCAGTGATAACGGCCCGTGATAACCAGCGATGTGTTAATCCGTCTACGATAGGAAGGCCTGGGACCAAACCTCACTCATATAACACCATCTGTGAGGGAATTACTACACCACATGTCCCTCATAACACCATCTGTGAGGGAATTACCACACCACGTCAGGTCCCTAATAACACCATCTGTGAGGGAATTACTACACCACGTGAGGACCCTCATAACGCCATCTGTGAGGTAATTACACCACGTGGGGTCCCCCATAACATCATCTGTGAGGGAATTACTACACCACGTGGTCCCTCATAACACCATCTGCGAGGGAATTACTACACCACGTCAGGTCCCTCATAACACCATCTGAGGGAAACACTACATCACGTGAGGTCCCTCCTAACACCATCTGGGAGGGAGTTACTACACTACGTGTTTGCTGTTCAACACGTACAATCCTACATTAATCTGTATGTTCCTTTACCTTTCTCTAATGAAGGCTTTTGTTAAACCACCAATGTATGTAATAAGTCATTTATGTCCAATGTATATTTTCAGCCTTCGGGCTGCAGAACTTTTTCAATAAACCGTTAATTATTATTATTATTATTATTACATACACACAAAAGATTTATAGTGCCACAAATTTTACATTTGAGGACAAGCTAATTACAAAACTAACAAAATTAGCTACCTATAATTTACAATTACTTTTATTATTAGAATTATGTAAGTTAATTTTTTTAAAGGAATGCCATTCATTCACCTAACCCACAAAAGCCCGCTAAATTTAAAAAGTTTGAAAGTTTTCGAAAAGTCCGGATTCTCGGGTGGTCCGGATTTCTGGCATCCGGATTTTTGGACTTTTACTGTTGTCCAGAATGCGACGTCGACATCCCACCCATCTCCACCCCTCGAGAGTTGACATTTGTTTACTGCTCGCTCTAGGGCAAGAGATGACGGTGGCAGTGCGTGTGATGGAAGGTGGGGTTGGGGGTTTTGAGAATTGCCAGGTAGCGACGTGTCCTCCTAATATTACGTATTTAAGTAATTATTAGATGTTTTAATTGCCTGTATGTTGGCCTGGCGAGTTAATGATAGGCATTTACATACCTAGGTATAAAGCTAGACGTCGCATTCTGGACTATATCACAAAAGCTGTTTTTTAGGAAAAAACAGCTTACAGTATTTATTTATTTATTTTTTTTATTATTATTTTTGGAAAAGTTGAATTTTTTCTCCATCTATCCCGCGGGGGGAGGTGTACTGCCATCAGCACCCTAACCCAGGGCTTAAGGGTTAAACAAAGTTTTGGCTTCTAAAGTAGTACTGAAACAATGTTAAGCGGGCCGACGTTAAGCGAGGACTTACAGAGCCTCCTGTATCTCAGTGAATAAAGCCTTAATTTTAATTTGGCGACATATGACCAAAGCTGTTGCGTCGTCAAAGATATAATTACTGTACCACATTCAATCAATCTCGGTAAACAAAATGTGTTTTCTTAACCAATTCGTAAGTGCTGACCCACCATATGGGCCTAGTAAGAGCCAAGGCGACAGTTGTTGAAACCCAGATACTGTATGGAGCCTGAGACATTTTAAATTTTATGCACCAAGGCTGATGAGAGAGATTTAGAAATGTCATATGATCAACTGGTCATTGTTTTCCAGGTGTTTTCGTATACTTATTTGAAACCATAATACAGTGATCCCTCAGTTAACGAGCGCCTCGGTTAACGAGATTTCGGTTAACGATTTACCTTCCATAAGATTCTTAACTTCGGTTAACGAGCAACCCCTCGATTAACAAGTTTTTCACGAGCTGACCTCAACATGTTTTCGCTTGCATTTGGCGGTCCACCAGCTGTAGTATTAGTCTGCCAATACAGTAATCGGTTTTAGGGTTTAAATTCCTTACTATTTTAGTAAATATCAAGAAGTTTATACTATTCAATAATTTTAAAAGTTTAATATTAAATTTTTTAGTCATTTTAACAATTACCGGTATTGAACTTAATTGAAGGTAAAGACACTAGTTTCATGCGCGCCATCCAGCCTGGCAACACACCAAACAGGCGCCAGTCTCACTCTCTTTTCAGTGGAGGGAACATTCTTGCTTGAGACTCTCTTCAACTAAATGCTTTTTTCTGTGTTTGCATGCAAATTATTGGTCATTTGAAATTTAATTTACATATTGACAATATATAATGCAGTGCAGTGTTTATTTAAGGAAAATAATCTTGAATTACACCAAGTGAACTAAAATTTTATGGGTGAAATGGCGCCATGGGGAGACTTCTCTTCCACCCCAATGCCTTCTCTTCTACCTTCTCCTCCACTCCCATTCTAATTCCCATCATCATCATCCAGGAACCTTCTACATACACACCTCAAAGTAAGTGTACTTTTCTACCTTTTTTGTTGAATTTAGGCAAATTTCGGTGAGCTGGAACCAATTACCCAAAAACCCATTGAAACAATGGTTTCAGTTAATGAGTTTTTCGGTTAACGAGCAACCTGCTGGAACGGATTGTGCTCGTTAACCGAGGGACCACTGTAGTGCTCTTTTACCGAAACCTTCTAAAAAGGTATGTGTAGTACAAGAACTGCAGTTGTCTGACGACACCTGGCAACTGTCCCTATCGTGACACAGGAATCAGGATTTTTCGAATTTTGAGCAGTTGTAAGACGAGTTGAAAAATAACAATAACGCAGCTCACACCACCCGCCACTACCACACTCTCATCACCCCCACTATGCACACCACCCACCACCATTACCACCCCGACAACCCCTTCCCCCATCTCCCACGAACGCACACTACCGCGAATTTAAGAAATTTTTATTCTCTTTATGTTTTTGTACTTGTGATATTTGTGATAATTATTTCTTATATTTATTTATTTATTATTGTTTATTTATTTTATTTTTTTGCACATTCAGTATGCATGTAACAGTAACAGAGTAAAAAAAATAAATTAATACAGTAGACTTGCCAACCGCGGATTTCCCATTTGTGGATTCTGGGTATCCACGGTTTTTACTCTATACCATTTCACCAACCATGTCAATGAATTTTGTGTATCTGTGGATTAGTGTTGCATCTTTATCCCTTTGCAGTTTAATGTAAATGTGCGGAATGAATACAAATAATACCTGTATTAATAAATAAAAGAAAAGAAAAGGAAAAATAAGCTATTTGGCAATCATTTTACTAAGGGAGACAGAAGTGCTGTCCCCCCTTACCCTCCCACAATCTTGGGCTAACTCCTGCAGACAAAAGTAATGTTCTTTCTATTTATATTTTTGACCTTATGATAATTTTTTTTTTCACATTCTGTACGAATGATTGTGTGTGCATGTAACAGAAAAAATTAATAAATAAATAACAAATTACGTATATCTACCCAAAATTACGGATTGAAAAAGAACAATAATGCAGCTTACAGCTTGGCCTGGTAGGGAAAGGCTAAGATCCCGATACCATATCCCTCTCCCCCTCCCACCTTCCCCTCGCACGATCTGACACTAACTCCCATGGACACAGCTTGGCCTGGTAGGGGAGAGCTAGAGGAACAGTCTAACTTGGCAAGACCTGCTAAGTTCACACACACACACACACCCATGCTCTTCATTTTTCTTATTTTATAGCAACATGCCATCTCTACAGAGATGTACTGAACTGAACAAAGGCTAGTGACAGGGGGGGAAAGAGGTTCAGGGGAAAGATAAAGGGAGGATTGAAGTGAATTTGAGAAGGAAAGGAAAGGTGCAGTGGCTAAACACTGCTTGTGTTATTTTGGGTTTAAGTTGGAGTTATAAGTCGGAGGTAGCAGCCACTAATCTGGACGCGGCGAGGAGGTGGCCGGTCCCAGAATCGGGTGAGTGTCAGGTCAAACGTCAGGTGGTTGTTGGGTTGGGCAAAGAAATATCTTGGTATTCTTGTTAGCTTGAAGTTGATCTTTTCTTCCTTTTCCTCCTCTTCTTGCTGTCCTTACTCTCTTGGACTGTCCATTCGGGTCCTGTTCTTCATCATCATCTTGCCCTAGGTGTTCGTAGATGTGGAAGAGGGCGGAGGGGGTGAGCGTGGTCACGTGGGGTTCTGCCCCTGGGGGCTCGTGGTGTTCTTGTTTCTTGGTAACTGGTAAATAATTCTCGTACTTCTTTTCTTCGGTCTTGTTGGGGTCTTGATTATTCTTTTCTTCGGTCTTCACTACAGGGAGAGCCTCCTTGTAGCTCAGTTTTTTCTTGGTTCACAGCTTAGCCACCCTACACTCCTCCCTCCACTTGGGACACTCATGGTCAGAGGAGGAGTGAGGGCCACCACAAGCTGCGCATTTCTTGTCGGCCGCCGAGCAGTTGGTGTCCTGGTGCCCGGGTGTTCCGCATCTGCAACAGACCTCCCGAGCACGACACTTCCCCGCCAGATGGCCGTACATCTGGCATTTGTAACATCTTGTTGGTCTTCTTTCATACGGTCTTACTGAGATGTTTTCCCATCCCAGCAAAACGGTGCTTGGTAGCTTCGTGGGGTAGCTAACCAGTTCTACTCCACTGGTCAGCTTCCGTACTATTGTGAGCTGGTCTCCGATCAGCTCAGCCAGTTCTTCTTCTTCAAGGTGTTCTATCTCGGTGTGGGAGATGACTCCCAACACCAAGTTGTCTTCTGGGTGAGCTCGCACATGTATCTGAATCCCGTTGATTTCTGTTATGTTGATTAATTGCTGGGCCTGTCCCCATTCCGCGAAGGTGACCATAAGGCTACCACTCACTGGTCTGCGGACGACCCTTGTCACCCCCCTGATTTCTAAGGAGTCAAAAAACTTCCTTAGGACAAGGAGGTTTAGTTGCTTGCCCGAAGGGTTTAGTTGATTGCGCAAAGGGCCTGTGACTGGGTACAGTCTTACAACCTTCGCCTGGTCACAGGTGAACATCGTCAAGTTCACGCAGTACCTCGGGAGCAGAAAAGATCTTGCCTCACCGAGGTGCAGTTCTCTGTGTGAGATGTATTGTAAAATTTATATTACTATTTAATTTATATTCAGCCATTTATATGTGCAATATTTGACTCAAATTTAATTAAATGTACAATACAGGTATTGTTTAGTGAAGGTACAGGCAATTTAATTAGGCTTTGATGAGTGTTAGCCGATGCCATGGAACCTAACCCCCTATCACCCATAAGCCAACCATGGTGTTTATCAGGAACCTAACCCCTGCAGTTGACGATGGACTACTGTAAGTATGTCTACTCGAAATTACAAGTTGAAAAATAACAATAACACAGCTTGACCTGGTAGGGGAGAGCTAGGGACCTGTAGCTACACTGACAGTCTAACTTGGTGACCTGTAAAAGAAAAATTTATACAGTACAGTACTTTATATGCATATTTCATCACCAGGATGCCCAGAGAGTTTTGGTTCGCTTCCAAGAAGCTAGCAGTCAGGGAGTGGTTGTGGAACAAGGAGCTGCCACACTGATGGACATCGTATCCCACCTTCGTGAGGAGGGCCCAGTCATCCTCCTCACTAATGCACACCTACTTATTTGCACGAGGTGTGCGAGGGCTATGCCACATCTTCGTTCCTGCCTGCCATGTTCACCGCCTTATCAGGGACATTACATTCTTCTTATTGGTTTTGATATGAGAAAGACCCATTTCTATTACAGAAACCCATCTTTTAAAAATCGCATTTGTTGCATATCTTTTAGTAAGTTGGATGAGGCTAGACAGAGTTATGGTACTGATGAAGATGTTATTTTTATTTACAATACCTCAAAACATCAGAGCTCTACATAAAATTAGGTAAAAATAGGTTTAGTTTTTATTATGAAATTTATATAAATCAAAACATATACTTTATAGATTTAAAGAGATGAGATGTATCATGTTTTGGTGGTATACACGAACTACATGGGTATAATACAAAAGGAATTATGTAGCAACTCTCTTACCTGTGACTCCTCTCTCCTCTGGAACTTGAGAGATGATTGTGTGTAGATTTTCCTACATTTTAAATTGTTACATATGAAGTATTATACTGTTTGAAAAGTACATGAATGAAGAAAGTGCCATTGGTTTGCACCTGACTGATTGCTCCCACTAATATGAATACAATATGTTGAAACAAAATTGAAGACATTTTATGTACAGTGAACCCTCGCTTTACGCGGTCAATTGAACCCACGGAGGCCTGTGTAAAGCAAGAAATGCGTAAAGTGAACAACATAACATTTGGGATTAATTGAAATAGAGACCGGGCCGACCATCAAACTCCACTTTTTCAGACACAATACCTACGTTGTAGTAAAAAAACTTCTTAATTTTATGATGGTATGCACACACAATTAATAATTAAGAGAAATATCATTAATATTAGGTTTTTTAACACTTACATTAGTAGAAAAGATGGCTGGGCACACAGGGATGGGGGGTTGGTTCCAAGGCAGAGGGCAGATTATTGGCCCTCACCTGTATCACTTGTATCAATTGTATCACTATCCACCACAGAGGCTTGCAGGGCCTCTTTGTCAAACCCCTCAAAGTCCATATCCTCACTATCACTATCACCGACTTGGGCAGGCTGTGGCAGGTGAAGAACTCAGTAATGTTTTGATGACTGGGCGACCTTGTGCGCACCCTGCCCGCGCCGCTCTCCACGTAAAAGAGTACATGCACCGCGTAAAGTGAGCATTCCGGGTCTGGCAGGGTACCGTGGAAACGCGTAAAGCGGGGTAATACTGTACTTGAGAATGTCACCAGTTCAACTTGAATAGTAATTACAGTATTTTTACATACCATGTATGTTGTGCACGATGACAAGTATAAAGCACTGAATTCTTGGATTAGAGATATGTTATTGAACAATTGTTTTCTTAAGAATGTATTAGAAGCCGAGTTTCATTATTTATATTTACATTTAGTTGTTGTTATGTGTACCAGATTCAGTCTTGAGCTATTTATATTACCTTTACATAGGCCCCTGCTTATTGAAGGCTGTACAGGATATTGTTATTTAATTTTTATTGTATTATTTGAATGTACACTGGATGATATGTTAATAGAATCTGGAATAATTTGTCTAAGATCAAATCTTTTGTGATGCTGTGGGTTAAACCAAGTCAATGTTTCTATCTAAAAGGCACTCGGCAAACATTTTTACCATTGTGCAGCTGGCGTTTGACCCTTAAATAGTGTTCATAAAACATTCTGAAATTTTTATAGTACTGTACAGCAATATAATGATAAATGTCTAATCTAGGTTAGTCAGTTATAGATAGTGTATTAGAGTCATCTTTAACATAGAAATTTTAAGGCAACAGCTTCATTTATATAATAATTGAAGCTGATTTAAAGAAAATATTTATAGCTATATTTTTTTAAGTAATGTACTGTACTGTACTTGTAAATGAATCCTGAATGTGTAAACCATTGAGATGTACAGTGCAGCAACCAATGGTTGAGAGGATGCAGTTCAAGTAGTCTCTTTAATTTGGGCAATAAAAAACTAATTAAATTATTTATGGTAGACGATTCATTGTTGATCAAGTTGTATGTAGGTAGAAAACTAGAGGTTAGTTGTATTGTTGAATGTATCATGGAGGACTCAGTTCAGGAGACAAAAGTTACCAGGTGAACTGTAGTGCTATTTAACATGAATATATCTCATATCTCAGGTATCATATTCACAGCCTACCAAAGTCAAGTTGTGGCACTCCACCACCAACTCAGTCAAACAAAAAGTCTTAGTAGAGGGCCAGTAAACTTCCTTATGTTGTCAAGGCTGATACATACCCTTTTTCTAAGAATGAGTTATTAGTTGGTATCCACATGGTAATTTACTTCCATGAAACCTCTCTCCATGACTTAACCAGGTAACCCAATTTTTTATATGAAGTATTACAAACAGCCAACCTTCATCAAATGTGGACTTAGGCATTGTATTTTTGCTTATACAGTTGAGAAAATGCAACCATTTTTTCCAAATGTGATGAAATAATTGTAATATGCTCTAAAATCTCTCTAATTCTTAACCCCACAACTTATAATTGGTCATAATTTAGCTACATGTACTTTCAGAAATTTCAAACCTTATACAGTATCTTATTTCAACTGTTTTCAATCACAGCTTATGAAAAAGACATTGTGGTGCATAGCATCACCCATCAGTTAGCGTTGATATTACTGTAGTGAGAAGACATACAATATTTTGCTTCAACAAACTTTTGAAATTTTGTGCATTTTGGAATCCTTGAGTGTTTCATAATGTCTTCCAATGAAGGTCTCAGCAGTTCTGCTGGAGCTGTTTTAAAAAATACAAAAGTTTGTCAATTTGCTGATAAGTTGAGAATGGCAGCTCAATACCCACATATTGTGATGAGTTCAAGATAAGCAAGTACTCAAGAAGAGTAAGAACTGGCAGCCACACCCTTTGTGATCCAGGTGTGGCCAGCCACCTTGCTCACTGAGTCACTATCCCTCAAAATTGTTTATACAGTACCTTTGTTGGTAAAATACATTCTAAATAATATATTTTTTCTTTTCTTTTTCTACCAAAGTGAAGGAAATTAATTAATCTAGAATACTGGTGTGTTATTCAGTAATTGTTTCTCTAAACTAAATTCTGATGAATAATATAATATACTTTTCAAGAATTAAAATTTTTCAATGCCACAAACAATTATTCTAAAATTAAAGTAGAATAAATCAGTTTGATAAAAAAACAAAATGGGAGAAATAAACACAAAGACGTGCTACATCCATGCGTGTATGTGCTCTGGGGTAACTTAGTAGTGCAACTGTCCAGACATACAAACTTACACGTATGATCTCATTTAAAAGAAAAAATGGGGAACATTGTTGGGAAAGCATCAAGGCCAGGCATGTAGCATCAGAGGAAATGCTCCATCACACAGTTGTTTATGATGAGCAAAATCAGAGTGCAGAAGGGCTGGAAATGAGTTTCAGAGGCAGAATGCAAGCGAGGTCAAGTCAAACCCAAAGGTTTGCTACCGTTATCCAAAATCAAAATTAAAAATGCGTGTAGGTATACCAGATCTGAGGCTTGATGATGGTAATCACGCAGATTCAGATCAAGACAAGGCGGAGGCGTTAAACTAATTCTTTTCCTCAGTGTTCACAAGAGAGCATGTGAACAATCTCCCTGCATTTGAGGAAAGACAGTTTGACACGGCGCTGACCCACATTGTGTTACAGGTACCAGAAGAGGAGTTAAGAAATTGTCAAAGCTAAACGTTCACAAGAGTCTTGGCCCTGACATGGTGCATCCCAGAGTGCTAAGAGAATTGTGCAAGGAGCTTGTTGAGCCCCTTAAGATCCTGTTCTGTAAGTGCCTGGAGGAGCAAAAGCTCCCCAGTGATTGGAAAATGGCTATGTGAGTCCTATATTAAAGCAAGACGATCTCACTCCATGAATAATTATAGACCAGTGAACCTGACCAGTATAGTGTGCAAAATACTAGAGAGCATTATAAGAGATGTCATTATGGAACATTTACATGAACAACCTTGTGAAGGAAAAGAATTCCATGCTGTCCACACCTTTTTTCTTAAAATTTTTTGTAAAATAAAACAGTACAGTATTTGCACTTTGTAGGTAATGAGGAGTATGATCTTCAAACTCATCCAAATCCTAAACTGAATAAAATATGGCCTGTTTATGAACTTCTAGTGAATAAATTTAGGAATCTCGAGGCACCAGAGAAGGATTTTAAGGCCCGTCCACAGATCGAGCAGTGCCCGTCGTTGAGCGAAATCATGGTCAGCCTGCCTGGTGGTTTGCTGCCGGATATGGAGTGACGACTGCCAGACAAACAAAGTTGACCCTGGGACCCTGGCTGTCAGTTTCTCAGCCTCGCCACAACAGTCACCACTGTACCATGTCTAGCCCTCTGTCCACCAAAGAACAAAGAAACATTCATTGGTCTAGAGCAGAGTCCATGCTGTTAATTGAACTCTATCGCCAGCACCCTTGAACAGAGATACTGACAGAACATATGCTAGCACTTTGTAAAACTTGAGTTAAGTACTGTGCTGCAAATGTGATACGTATATGTTCCCCGCTCGGTCCAGATGTCCAGTGTATAACCAAATAAGCTTATGCAATGTACATTATTGGTGTGACAATAAACGGGAGATTGTTTATGTATTATGTAATGAGGACATTCATGTGTGTTCTTCGTTCCTGCTGCTCTCCACTCTAGTCCCATAGCTTCCTGTCTATGCATATCATAATTCTAACATTCAATGAATTTTTATGTACTTCAAATCTCACCTGCAAGTAATCTTCCTTGAGTACTTCATACATGGCTTGACAAGTTGCAGGTATTATGCGAGACAAACTTTGTTTTGATATCCTCGTTCTATACTGAAGTGATGTGTAGGTGCACCCAGTTGAAAGATATATGAGCGTTGCCTCTAGATGAGCCTCTGCAGATATACTCTCCCTCATATTGGTATCCTGTTTTTTTTATATACGGTTCCACTTTCGCTAGAAGTTTGTAAAAGGTGTTGGGGTCCATTCTCATGTAATTGGTGAAGTCTTGCTCATGTCCATCTTGCAGTTCACGTAAAATCATGGCATGACTTCCCAATACTATTCTTCGACCTAGCCACTCTGCACCATTCCCTTTTCTGCATTTGGTTCTTCTTTTTGCACATAACAGCAATTATTATACTGGAGTACACAACGCTATGCTCTTCGCTTTAACTGTCCGGCGATTATTCCTGCGACACACCATGGTGATCGTACCGCACTCGCCACTGCCGACCACCTACTAGCTACCGGCGCCCAACTATGACTGCCGCCAACCACCCCCGTGTGTACAACATCACACAGGCTTTTAAAGCCCACCAGGCACTGCTTGATCGTGTGGACGGAGCTTTACTGTGGATGAGAGCCTAATGCTTTATAAAGGAGAATTAGGCTGGGTTCATACAGTACTGTATCTTCCATTGAAAAGGGCTAGGTTTGGCATAAAAATTTTCATGCTTTGCGAGTCAAAATGTGGATATGTTCGGCCTTTTAAAATATATATAGGGAAAGGTACAAATATTGATAACTACAGTATTACAAAGATCTTCCAATGTCATCACAGGTAGTAATGACACTTATCAAACCTTTGATCAATAAAGGACATTGTTTCACTGTGGATAATACTATAACTAGCAGACATCCTTAAAAGTCAAAATACTGTACTGATTTGTATGGAACTGTAAGGCTCACAAGAAAGGACATGCCCATTGAA